TCATGAATAGAACGCAGCAGCAGTTTTCTGTCGGGGATTTGTAGTGTCGTGCCGCGCCGCATCCAGTGTAGACCATAGATATGTATATATATATATATATATATATATGGTGTAGACAGCATCACTGACTATAATGAGTTCTGTAGTATCTGGTGTAGACACGGTGTAACATTGGTTTTGCTTTGTTTCACAGAACTAGCCTGGTTTGCGAACGTATGTGTGGGGTGGAGCTATCAAAATAGGGGCGAGACCCTTTTGGGGTAGGGCCGTGTTTGTTTTGGTGATTTCAAATGTCAACATTGGCTACCAGAAATCGCTTACCCCACCTTTAACTACGACTTTTGCCTACAAAAACTACTAATGTGCTGCTTATTAATAGTTAGTAAGGCAGTTGTTAAGTTTAGGTATTGGATAGGATTAGCGATGTAGAATATGGTCATGCAGAATACGTGCTTTATAAGTACTAATAAACAACCAATATGTTAAAAACAGGCATGCTAATAAGCAACTATACTAAAGTGTTACCAAAATAACAATAATCTATGAGTGCTGTGCAGACATAAGCAGTAGCTTGCTGAAGCAGTATCACGAACAAACCACTGGCAATGACCAATCAGCATCAAGGACTAGAACTATCCATTCTATAATGCACATAATCCTGTATATATAAGTGCTCCAGGTGTGTTTATGAATCTGTTGCGGTCGAGTCCATTTATATGAAATTACGCAATGTCCAGATGTGCCTGTGCTAGTGGTTTTTCTGACCTGCCTTACAAAAATAAATTAAAACACTAACATATGTTTGTTTATGTGTGTCCAGTGGGAGCTCTTGTGGCGTGCGTATTTGTTTGATCACCTGTGACTTCAGCGAGGTGATGGTGTCCTCCAGCTCCTGCTGCAGCTCTGCGGGAATCAGGCCTTTGATCTTCGACTCACACTCCTGACGGACGTGTGTGATCTACACGAGGAGAGAGGGGAAGAGTTTAAACAATCAGACTGTCAGACACTGTGGTCAGTTCTCGGTAAACTAAAGCTGCGGCAAGAGTACTGCTAACTAAGCCTGTCTGTCTAGCAAGTGCAGACTATACACTGAACATACAACTTTGGCAAGTTTCCCCTCTTCCTACACACACTCAAGCAGAGAAACACTTTTTTGTCAGCAAACTGAGGAATGGAGAAGACGTGTTGCACTGAGGATACAGCAAGGTCATGTCTGAGAGCCCCTTTTAAAGAAAAGAGAAAACTATGCCTTTTCTGAGGCCAGACTAGTCACTGTCTACATTTCATCTGTTACATAGACATCAGTACCATGGTTAATGCTGCAGTTGTACATTACGAACTGAACTGACACAGGTCTTTTGGTTTGGTAAACACAATTACACAAATGACTGCATACAGTATCTTTATATGGAGAACAAGTTGGTTGTTATGCCATGTCTGGTTATTTTCAGTGCCTTGCATTCTGCAGTGTTCATTAACAGAAACTTGGGTAACACTTTAGATTAGGGAACAGGAACACATATTCATAAATAATTAAGTAAGAGTTTTCCCTCAATAAACTCCTAATTTGCTGCGTATTGATAGTAAGTAAGGTTTGCAGTAGTTACGTTTAGGTATTGGGTCGAGGTAAAGGATGTAGAATATGTTCATGCAGAATAAGGCATTAATATGTGCTTTATAAGTACTAATAAACAGCCAATGTGCTAGTAATATGAATGCTAATATGCAACTAGTTAATAGTGAATAGTGTTACCTGATCTAAAGTGTTATGGAGATTTGTGTCACACAAATAACACTCCACTAAAAAAAAAACCAACTATATCTACATCCTCTTTACTACTAGTTTTAACACGAAATGAACATCTCATGCCTCATGTAATCATTCAATCAGTCTTTCAATTGCGGAAAGACGTCAAAACAAAATGTCTGGTAGCATTTCATTTACCTCAGGCAGGCAAGTCATCAGTATCCACAGTTTGTTACTTCGCTAAAGAAATGAAGTCTAGAGGAGAGCATTTTGCGAAATATTAGACTTATATATTTTACTTTACCTGTTAGTGATGTGTTCATTATTTAATGTATGCTTAAATAAATTTGTTATGAAACAAGTTATGACAGCCACTGTGTAAATGAATATATTTCAACAACAAATAGAAATTTTATAGTTTAGAAGTTAATTTAAAAACTGCATTATGTGCAATTTACATGTTTGCGTACAATTTTTTAAGTTGAGTGTTGATTATTATATTTAAAATTAAATAGCAAATAAATTTAAGTTTGGGCTTATAGTAATGTAAAATGGCTACCTATAGTTTAGAACATAAGTTGAGGTAGATTTTTATCGCTAAGAAAATTTTAATTATAATTGAATTTATTTAAAGAAAGAGCAATTTTTTCAGTAAACCACTGTTTAAATTTTAGAAAAGTTATTTTATGTTTAGTTTTTCCCCCTGGTGTTATACCGAACTGTGACGTCAAAACCGAGGACTGAATTTGTCCCTAAACTAAAGACTAAAAAAGCAACAACAACGTACACATTAAATTCTCTGTAGTTTTGTATTGCAGTTTTGAATGTGCCAGTCTTTCTTGGTGTTCACCATCCTGATGGACCGTCTCATGTCAAGTTTAGTGAATGTGAGAATGTAAAACAATTTCTAGTCTTGGTCTGGTATTGGTCTTTATCTGGTTTAGGTCTTAATCTGGATCTTGATGGGTCTGGTGGTCTGGATCTCTGC